AACTGTCCACATTCGCAACAAGTAAGTGAAACTTTAAATCCAAATTGTTGGAAATTTAAAGTATTTCTTGGCCAAATAAATGCAAATAAAATTGTAACTATTTGATTAAAATTCTAAGAAACAATGTTCCAAACATTATATTTTATTATTATTAAAATCATTGGAGAGTTTTTGTATTTTGCCACCCTAAAAATTGTAAAAACAATCCTCTAATTATGTGTACTTAAGATAGTTTAAATTTCAGGAATAATTTAATTTAAGGTTTTCTATATGTGATATATAGTAAGAGTAAGTATTGGGATCATTAAAATTTTTGAATCCGAGTTTTCAACTGAAATATGCATTATGGGATACATTGAGTCCAAATAACCAAGTCCTGATGGTCTCTGTGTATATAAACACTCTAGCTCCAAAACGAAAATTCCTATGAAACTGATATCTATTTAAGGTAGGTATATGCTTTAGAAGTCCAAGCAACTTTTTCCTTAAAATCAGCTAACCGGAAGCGCCACTTTATATGAATGGTGAAACACATTTTTACAATTTTCTCGAAAACGGCTCTTAACGATTTTAATTCAACTCGGTGTATCATTGTATAATTAAGTGGTCTTAAATATCATTTAGGTCTTATCCCCATTGATGTGACTTTACAGGGCTTAAATGCCCAATGATTAACATGTCTCCTTCTAATGTACCTTTTATTTGGTTTATTTTAAATAATTACATATCTCTCATTGTTAGGAGTTATGAAGAAATACTAAATATAACTTTTGAAGGAATTTGATAATTGAAAAAAGGAGAAAAAAATAAAAATGGTCATCCAGGTCGAAAATGAATCTCCGAAAATACTAGCCAGAAGCTATATGTATAATATATCGTTGGAAAGCATAGAGAATTTTAGAAAAAAACAATATCTAATATAAAAAGTTGTAGAAGGTAACGGAGAGTGGCAAAAAATATAAATAATAATTTTTTGAAAACTAATATTATTTAACGTAAATCACATGTTTTCAGCGAAATTAAATGAAATTTGTTAACTAAATGTAAAATTTTAAAATATTTTTAAGTTTGAGAAAAATATTTAAAATCCACCTAGTCAAGGAAATGCATTGTTTAAAAAACTATTTCATTGTACTTGTGTGAAAGACGAAGTAAAATACAAAATCATTTCATGGATGTCTAAAGCATATGTTTATAACCTTAAATACATTTACTGAGTTTAATAATTCTAGATCTTCTTCTTCTCATTGTCCCCTGTGTGCTGCTAATATACCATCTTACCAATACCATCTTTTCCAACGGTGCCTGTCCTGTGCAAGCTTTCTCATCTCCGGCATGGTGCTTCCTCTCGCTGTGCCAATTCTCTCAATCAGGTCTGCATACATAAGCCTTGACCTGCCTTCCTCCTGGTCTTGCTTCTAGAAGCCACTTGGGCTTACGGTCATCTCCCATTCTATTAACATACCCTTACCACTTCAACTGCCTTTCTTCAATCGTCTCTAGGACGGATCTAACTCCTAGTTCATCCCACACCCTTTCATTCCTTCGATCTCGCCTGGTTTTTCCTAATATTTTCCGTAGGAATCTCATTTCTGCAGATACAACCTTGCTGGCATGGCGGTCCAAGAGTGTCCAGCTCTCCAATCCATATAGCAGTACTGGGAGAAAAACTGATTTGAATAGCGGAATCTTCACTTTTCTGCTCAACTCCTGCTTTCCAATGAGTGTCATAGATATTTGGTAATATATTACATTGGCCTTTTGGACTCTATTCATGACCTCCTGGTCTATAATTCCATCCCTGCCAATCATTGTTTCCAGGTAGCAGTAGGTATCGGTTTGCTCAAGGGTCTCTCCATTGCAAGTTATTCTGAGATCCTCGTTCCTTCGTCTAATACACATGACCCTGCTTTTGGAGGGATTGATCTGCATGCTTCTGAGTTGCAGTTCTTCTTGCCACTCATTCACAGCGACCTGGAGCGATTCGGCAGTATCCGTAACCAATACCACATCATCTGCATACAACAATGCCTGTGTCAACACTGAGGTCATATTCCGGCATCCCACTATTGCTCTGGGTGTCCTCCTCTTACAACATTTCCAAATGGCATCCATGAAAATTATGAACAGTAGGGGGCTCCTCAGGATATTGCCCTGTTTAACTCCCCTATAGAAATGGAATGACCTAGACTCAGTGCCGGCTAGCCTTATTATATTACTCCCTTTGGATCTTGGTACACTGACTTAATTGCACTAATAAGATTTTGTGGGATTCTCTGGGATAAAAAAAAAAATTTGTGTAAAGGAATGTACATGTTATGTTCTGGAATATAACTGCTGAAATGTTGTATCCAGACATACTTATGGCTTTTGTCCTGTTTTTTGCCTTTAAGTAATTAACGTTTCAGAATAATATTAATTTCCTAAGCATTGACATACTGATGCAGAACACTAACTGCTGTACAGTGATACAAATGAATATGCAACAGCTCCAAAACCGTTACTGATGAATGACTTACGGAGAGCCTCTGCTCAATGAGTTCAGAGAAGCAACACTATGTTTCCTGATCCAGCGATAGAACACATGGATTAAGCGAGAAATGTAAAACGGAAATTGCAGCCTATGCACTTTTCATTACGCCATCTCTATATATTATGCAGCTTCTTTTTATTTAATCCCTCATCAAAGACCTTACTTAATATTACACCATCAAGTTCCTTTCCTCCAGGTACATGGTACCTACTTCCTTATGCCATTAGAATCCATCTGTCCACATCTTGGACTCAAGCATTCTAAATCCGGAACATCCTCGAACATTTGTAGTCCTCATACCTAGATGTCCATAAGTGATCTCCTCCTTTAAAAGTGTAACCCTCCTGATGATATTGTTGATTTCGACTACTGAGATTGCATGAGTTGTTACAAATCCTTAGATTTCATTAATGTTTCCAGCCAAGGATCATGACGTAACTTCATCCCCACCAGTTTTCTTTAACGTTAACTTTGCAAATATGCATAAAAAAAATTAAGGACTTTTTGTGTTTTGATTATCATAACCTAATCTTCACCAAGTACCCAATTATTTATAATTATATTATATTATATTAAAACAAATTCGATATATCCCACACAGTGCCTTAGACATTTGGCGCCCCTGGGAATTGACGTCATCACCCTCCAATGAATTTAATTTATTTCTTAAGCTGTTTTATATTAAGTAATATTTCAATTTTATTCCATTCAATGACTTTTATTCAGTTGATTTCTTAATAGACTAAAATTGTTTATTCTCATACGCTTTTTATTTATATTTAATCCCTAACAAGTGGTGGAGGATATCCCTGGTTGCCCAGCCATAAGGCCGCCATTGTTCCCACACAGCATCAATGCCTGAAAGATCATGTTTTCTATATCTAAAAAGATATATCTAATATAAGGTGGCCAGACTGTCCCGATGTTTAACAATTTTTCCAGGATCCAGTGCCGTTTTCAAAATGTCCCGAAATTTGGAAAGAATGCACGGCAGGCTTGGCAAGAGAACGGAAAGAGAACAATTTGGAAAACTTTTGTTATCTTCAATAAATAATGAGGCACTTGAAACCAAAGATGGGCAAATGCTACTCTGAGTACCGAGTACTAAGTATTTTACTCTAATTGAATCACTATTGGGAATTCAATCAGTACTTAAGTTAATCGTTTGACATCAACTGAAGTAGTAATTAAATTCTTTTGAACTCAAAAAAGGTCAGTGTTTAAGTAAAATACTTGCTATTCAGTACTCAGAGTAGCATTTGCTTATCACTGCTTAAAATTCATGATGATCCATTTACTTTCTGCTTGAATCGTAAGATTATTTGAGTACAAAATCTAGAAAAAGGTGGCGTAAAAAAAACATTGGGCCGATTGGCGTGATCTCCACCTCTAATTCGTCAAAATAATGAGGCCAAACGGCCGGTGATTTTTGTAGACCAAATTTTTTCTCGATTTTGTGATCAAATTATCTTACGATTCAAGTGGAAAGCATGAGAGTTCATGAGTTTTTAGCACTTCATTAAATTATTTAATTATGCTCCTATTGCGAAAATTGTTGTTAATTACGATGAGTTGTAGCCATAAACAAAATAGTAGAAGGAAATTAATAATTTGGTAAAACGGAGTCTGTACAGCGGAGTATGACTAGTAGAGACCTTTTTAAAGATATTAAAACAACATTTTTCAGACATTCTTTTTGAAGATATCAAAATTGTTATTCTTTGATCTTTCACACATATTACAAAAAGCTTTTAGATGTTATTATATATGGTGTCCTCAAAGAATAAATAGGCCCTTATATTTTCAACAATTTTTTATTATACTTCTGACGACGTTTCTTGCTGATTGGCTCATTATCAATGAGCTTTTAGATGCCTTTCGGATGAAGTAATATGTGTCTCAAACCAAATGTCTTTTTGATATCCTTTTTGGGGTGGTTTAAAGAGGACTGAAACAGACTTATAAGCCATCTTTTTGTGTTAAAGATGTCTTTCAAGGTATATTTTAGACATTCTACATCGTTTTCTAGACATCTTTTAGCCATCATTTGGATACATTTTTTCTGGGTGAGTATAATTTTTAACACATAAGAATTTAAACACATAACTAATATGAGACACCCTATTTGGTTAGTTTAAGTCAGTAATCTGTTAACGAGTATACAGATCTGCTAAAAAACTGTTTACCATCAAACTATAGAACATCTGACATCACGGAAACAATTATTTAAAAAAAATACCTGCTAAATATTTGAATCTTAAAAAATATTTTTAAAAATAGATAAATTATACAATTACCTAATAATAATCTTGCGAATATATTAAAATTTAGACGGAATACTTTTAATGATTGTGAATTTCCAAAGACAATATACTATGTAGTCGTTTTGGAGTACTAAGTTGTTGTTGATGTCAATCGATTATAAGATTTTGCTCTATGGAAGGTTTATTATTGAATGGAGGAATCAGCTGAACAATAACAAATACCTCAGGGACTCTCTATTTCTTCTTTTATGTTATAAAAGTAAAGAATAATCATGGATTTACTTGGGTCAATATTAAGTAGTATGGACAAGCCTCCAACAGTGAGTGATAAACAAAAAGAATTATTGAAACGTAAGGGTGTCTTTATAATGTTTTGTATTAGTTACTTTTGCATTACTTAATTTTTTGTGAACCACTTATTTTATGTAAAATTTTCTCAGGTCAAAAACAAGAAATGTTAAAGAAGCAGAATGCCGAGAAAGAAATGTTAAAAAAGTTCAGATTAAAGGTAAGAGCAGTTCTATTAATTCTTAAACTAATGTAGATGAATGAATAGATGACAGAATGATGTAAAACCTCATGATGATAGTGTGATCCAAGGAACGTTTGCTGTCTTTATTTTCTGCTTATAACATCAGTAATTGTTTCTAAGTAATAGTGCTCTAGTATATATGCCTGATGATATCTCAGGATGATTATTGAAGGGTCCTCATAATTATTATGTCAAATGAATAATGTCTTTAGTAATGGAAATATAGTGAGGTATTAAAAACATACGAAATGAAGTATTAAAATTAATAGCCATGAAGAAAAGAAAGTGTAACAGAATAGATAAATCATGAAAGTAAAAACATGATTCTGTCTGGCCTAAGTAATTCTCAGACCAAGAGTATTATTCAATGACGCACTTTTGCACAGGTTCATTTTTAAGGTTTTCTTCTCTCCTCATCTCACCAGATTAGCATTAAACAATTACATTTTTGTGATCATTTAGCTGCTCAGTAAGTCCTCTGACGTTTTGTATTTATTTATTTGGCGCTTTAGTTCTAATGTCATTACATCTTCATCGATGGCACAAGATCTCTTCTGATGATGTAAATGGAATCTCAGGAATGGACAAGTGTGTTTGAAAGTAGACAGAATTACCTAAACCATCTTCTAGTAAGGTGCTCTACCAGTAAATATCCATTGGGGATTTGTCTATCCCTTTAAAGCGATCAAGAATTGACATCCTTGATTATTAAAGCTAATTAATGTAATGTCCTTATTTGAACTGAAAAGGACCAGTAGTTTGTTTACCGAAGTTGTAAATAGTGATTTTAATATAGGAAGGTAATACTGTGAACAGTCATTCCTCGGCTATACTTGGAATCACATTTATACTGGACACAAGGAAGGAATCTTGGCTCATTTGACAAGGTGGAGTGACATTTGTACTGTGGTACCATTTTTTTTTTAGACGTTTTGGTCTTAGTTCATAAGTTTCACATCTGGATGACAAGTGGGCTAAAATCTAAGTGGGGTAATTAAGTACAGGCACTGCACATACAAAACACAGTGTACATGTTTCAAATTATACAAATTTCCAATAACAGTTAGGTTTACTTTCGGTTAAGTTACGTTTTCCTTTTTTGTTCATCTGACACAAAAGTTTGATATTTTATTTCTCAGTATTTTATTCTAATCATTTTGTATAAACTCACTAACATGATTTTGTCACCAAGATCACATCAATCATACTAGATGGAATTCCAATAATGGCTAGGTATGGATTACCTTGTGAATAAGTGCAACTTTCACTCATTCAAGTTCGTAAGATATAAACACCCAGCAACAGGTCCTAATTAGTTTCTGCCTCTCAACAAGCATAAATAGACTCCGTACAGGTTCTTTTCAAACAGATCAGATTTTACACGTTCGGCAACTTTCCGAATTTCATCAGTAGTTTGATCTTATGCCCAACCAACTAAATGGGCTGATATTCCTCAGTGTTTTTATTTTGTTCAACGCTGACATTTGGTTCAATGTGTTTAATAATTGCCTAATATCAGTGGTCCATCTTAAGGAAAATTTAAGTCACTAGGAAATATAAACTTTATTATTTATTTTATTTATATTTATTAGCTTATTTGTTGGAACATTTAGTTATAAAACTCTGAAGTCATCAATGCTTGGGTTTAATTTTTGTTTTGTCTTTAAATTTTAACATAATAATTGTTTCCATGAAATTTAATATTAGCTTTATTGTGTCTTCGTCACTTTATATATGTTAGATATATGAAGTGATATTTATTAGTTTATCCTATCTTGTTAAGGTAAAATACATTCTAAAAATATGTTGGTGAATAGATGCCCAAACTAAGTAAACAAATTATTATTTTTTAAGATTGTTGTTCAATTATTTTCTCATACTCTTTAGTTTTATTTACAAAATAACATGCCACAATTTTATTTATAAAGCATGTCGAGTAGTGAACATGTTATGATGTTCCATGGATATGAAGTTGCCATTAAAACAACATGTATGGAGATATGGTACTTTTATTAATTAACTAGATTAACAAACATTGTATCCCAAAATTTATTAAATTAAGCATACAAAAGTTTTTTTTTATCAAAGTTATTAAACAATTTGAAATTCAGACTCATTTGAATAATTGTTGTGATATGAGATGCTCATTGAGGTAAAATTAAATGTGATATATCTGAATACAGAATAAAATAGGTATGTATTGAATATTTTTGAGGTCAAGAAAATGTAAGATTGATGTTTTACACTCATGATTTGTGACCATGAAAAAAATAAGTATTATATTTAAACCTGTTTAGTTTTTTATTTAAAACTGATGTTTTATCCTATCCATCTTCAGGTAAAAAAAAAATAACAGACAGATTTGTAATCTCAACAACAAAAAATAATGTAACTTTCATAAACTTTCCTTCACCTCTTCTGGTGGAAAAATAAAATAAAAATAGAATTATATTAATTACATTTTACTATTCAATAATATATCTGAAGATTGTTTGGAGTATGATTAAAACATTGGAACAAGTATTTGAATAAAAATGAGTAGTAAAGAATTGTAGCTTAATATATTTAAATTAAATAATACTAATTACATTGTCTTTATTTCAGACTGAAAAAGATTTGAATAATTTTTTAAATGATCCAAAAAAGACAAGACTGAAATATCCTCCTATGGAACAGATTTTTAGGTCAATTGTGTAAGTGTCTTTATTAATATGAAAATTAAAATACTATAAATTTTGCAAGTATAAGTTTTGAATATTTTTGTAATACTTTAAGAAAAATATAATACTAAAAAGTTCTTTACATATAAAAAAGAACATTAAGACTATGTTAAAAAAATAAATAAATTCCCTAATTGCAATTGGAAAAATCTGTGATCAATAGCAAAGTCATTCATTTTATTCTGTTTTGAAGTCACGTTTCTCTTATTACCAAACAGTTTGGGAAAGCTGGAAGTCTTTTCCATAAATTATTTTTCCATACATCTTCTTTTCATTTGACTGATACTTTCTTCAAATAAGATGCACCTAAAACTTTTATTTTTTGAATGAGCTGTTTGGGTTAATTTCTGTGAAGTGAAATCTTACTATATTGTGGTCCTTCTTTCGTTCCTATGATTGAATTTACTGGAGATCTGATTTGTTTCAATGTTGTTGACCTATCAGCTATAATTTCAAATTTCAAGCCTGGTTTGTTGGCTGTTCCAGGTGTATTATCATATCAATTTTTTTTATTAAAGTTTAGAATACTTTGTCTTCATTTAGAAACTTATGAATGTAATTGTTCAGTTGTGAAAATATACTTGTTTGTTGTGATCATGTCTTTCCTAGTTAGTTTTTGCAGTCACTTTAATAAGGATAGCTATAATTTATCTTTTTACATGCTAACAATCAGGATGTAGTCTTAAAGAGGTGTATTTTTCTATACTTTTATGAGGTAGCCTTTGAGCACTACTTACTCTCTCGCTATTTGTCTCTGACCCGCACATTGTTATTCATGCATTTAAGAACAGTCTACTTCTTTGAATTCTCCTGAGTCCAAATAACCAAGTCCCACAAAATGGTGTGGGTGTTTGAATGTATGTTATCAGTGTAGCTCAATAACAAAAAGTCATATGAAAGTGAAATTGCATATTTAAGGTTTTTATTAGCTTTTGATGTTACAGCAACATTTTTGTCAAAATCAGCAAACCGGAAGTGGTACTTTATATAATCGATTTAACACATTTTTACGATTTTCTCAAAAATGGCTAACGATTTTGATTAAACTCAGTATATCAGTGCATTATTACGCAGTTTTTATATAACATAGGTTTTCTTCTGATTGATGTTCTCTATCAGGAATTAAATGGCTACTTTTCAATATTGGCTTCCTCTAAAGTACCTTTATATTTTTTTATTTGAAATAATTAACCATTTCACATTAATCTTTGATATAAAAAATAGTTAAATATAAAATATGAAAGAATTTGATAATTAACTAAAGGAGAAATAAGATATTGTAACGGATAATAGTTGAACTAGAGGAATCAAAGGAATACGAGCTTGTCCGAAAGATTTACTTACAACAGGCTTTGATACGTAACATGAGCTTCATATAATACCGACTCTGACAATATCATGTTAATATACATATGTGGTTTTCATGAATGCTGTCATTGATATTATGTAGTATTTTATTGTATAGAATACAGCTATATAAAAATTAAAATTTGTTATTTAAACAAATAAAAATACCCACAATGGATTGTAAATAAATATAGCCTTTTACTTTCACTTCCCCTTTGTCTGAAAATACTTATTTCTGCTGAGAAGAGGGTGGGGTAGTAAGTGAAAGTTGTGTGATGTATGCACCAGATTTTTCATTTGGGTTTCATAGTAGTTATGTTCTTTTTAATTTCTCAAACTGATTTGAAGTTTTCATTTCTTCTTTTTTTTCATTTCATTCATTTTTTTTTTCTGGAAAAATATTTTTGTTGGCTGAAATTAGTAGTATTAGTATCTAACTTTCAGGTTTGTTTAGTGTGTTTAGGTAACCCAACACCTATATAAATAAATGCATACAACATTTTACATCTTTTTTTTTCCTTATAAGTTTACACTGAATATAATTTTTTTTAGTTTATATTTTTAGTATTTTACAATAAATTTTATACATTTCTTACTTTGGAAAATTTTAGTTTCTGATTATAATTATTTTGTATTGTAGACATGAAGTAGCTGAAGAATGTGGATTAACAGCGCATTCTTTTGGAAAAGATGGCATTGATAGGTAAATTATTTAATTTGTATTCTATGAATTATTGCAATATTTTTGCTAGAGGTTTTTTTATTTTACACTGTATTTTTTTTTTTTTTGTCATATTATGATGAATTTATTATATGATAAGGTAATATTTATTTAATTTTTGGAATTAAGGTACATTATGGTATTCAAAAAAGAGTATCCACCTTCTGAAGATGAATTAGCAGTATTAAGAAATGGAGAAGAATGGACTAAAGAAAAGGAACAAGAAATCGCTTTGAGGGTATGCATTTTTTATAAATAATTTCACTGTATGAGTTTTATTGTTTGAGAATAGTTTATTAGAAAAAAAGGTATTCCATTTTGTGAGACTTCATCAGTGTTATCGATTATATAAAATCACTATGTTCAATAGATTTTTTTACAGTGGTTCATAAAATGTCTATGATGTGTTGGTTTGTGTCTATGACTTCATTCCTGTTTCAAATTTACTATTAAAATTTTCTATTAACTCTAATCAAATTAAGTTTAGCACATGTTGCATCATGCCTTTATAGCAGGGATTTCCAAACTTTTTGGAAACCTCATTGAATGGGCCATGGCCATTGAAAGGCCATGGCATTTAAACCTCCAACCAGGGCCCATGCGTCGTGATGAAAAAACAAAATTGTTATTAATTGACACTTGAGCTGTGAAATGAGCTTTCTAAGAGAAAAGAAAAAAAAAAGAAAAAGACATGTCTCCCGTCCCATGTCTGAATTATTTGCTAAATTTTACATTTTTAAAATTTTACCATGTGATCAAAAAACTTTCCTGGGCCCCACTGAAGGTGCTTGCAGACCGAAACTTTGCAGGCTGTAGTTTGGAGACCCCTGCTTTAGAAGATAAATAAGTTAATTCTGATTAATGAAGTTACTGTTCTTTCAAAATTCTTGAAAATCATAGTTAAATTTGCAAAACAATTTTAACTGGCATACTAATAATAACTAATTAGAAATACCTCTTTGGCAATTAAAGAATACAGAGAACAATTTTGAAAAGTTATGGCTTTTTCTTAAATTATATAGTTATATCCTCCGTTAATATCATGCTTAAGTTCTTTTAATGTTGTAAAAATTGTCCACATAGTATTGCTATCTTAACACTTAGTCTTTACATAAACATTTTGATTGATTATTTTCTTGAGTTAATATTTTTTTAAATGGTTTATTTGACACTTTAACTTCCTATTATATTTTTTCTTATTTTCTCAATAAAACAATTTATGTTGCTGTTTTGGGTAATGTTTTCTCAGCATGGAATATTTATTTTAACTAATTTTATGATGTTAATTTTTTTTTTTTTTTAAGTTATATATTTTACACTATTTTATCAGATTTTATTAAGTTTTATAATAATCTATTTACCACTAATTCTTATGGCTCCTATTTTCTATGAAATTAAACTAAGAAGAAATAATATTTATTTATTTAATTTTTGAATCAGTTATTATTTCTATGAATACTTTTTTTAAACTTATTCATGTATTTAGAATTATATAAAAATAAAAATTAATTTTATTTTTATTCATGTATTTAGAATTATATAAAAATAAAAATTAATTTTATTTAGAGGGAACTTGAAAGAGAAGAACAGATTGAAGCCGCTAAAAGAAAAAATGAAAAGTTCACCCCCAATTCTAATTATCAAGAAAAGTACCAGCATTTAATTGGATTAGAAGCTGCAAAAGATGCTGCTAGAGCAACTAAAACCAACAAACAGTATGGGTTTGGTGAGTTATTTAAATAATTTGTCAATATTTTAAATCCATATTTGCTTTTCTTCAGTTTATTTATTGGTAAAAGATGGAGAAAATGGAAATTACTTGGAGGAATAATATCGATATTTTTTTATTTTTGATTGATTTATTTTCACTTTTTAAGGCCTGTTGTGTGCAGCTCAGCTTCTAGAAATTAAACATTACTTATTACTTTATAGACATACACTGCTTTAAGGGCAACTTCTTTTATTGCTCACCCAGAATAAAAGAGATTGAACAAAAAAAAAAAAAATAGTTATAACTAGTATTATGTGCCGATTAGATCTCTATAAAAACTCTAGATGCTTTTTCAAAAGCACTTTAGTGTTCACATGTATTTAAGAGTTGTTCTCTTAGAAGATTGGTTTAATTGAAAAAAAAAAAAATCATGATAACTATTTTGAGTTCTACTACTTTCATTCTGTATATGCCATGGTCTGCTCAGTGCATGAAGTTTTTTTGTTATTTTTCCTCTTTAATATTACTATTGATTTTTTCTTTTTTAGTTCCAAGTGAAAATAAAAAGGATCACCGGTCAATAGAAGAAACATTAGCAGACATTCAAAAGAAAAAACGAAAATTAGCTCATAATCAAGATTAGAAATGTAACTGAAAACCTCTTAAATGTAATGCCTTTGCAGCAAGCAATATTTTCTATTGTTTCGTTACACCCACATTGTTATTTTTAAACAAATATAGTATAGATACTTTCTGTGACAACAAACATTCTGATGATTTATTTTTAGCCCCACTTTGTCTATACTTTTTAAATAGTATAAGTATTTGTTTGTATTATTTATACTTATTTATTGGATTAATAGAAATCATTCTATTCTTTTTTAAGGTTAACAAATGAATAATTTCAGGTTTTAAATAATTTAAATTTGGTTTTATTAAAAGAAAAACTGTGTCTTTTAAAAACACAATTGTATTTTACTCTGATTCTCATCGGAATATTTCTAGTTAATTCAAAAACTATGGTTTTTTTAATTGATGATCAATTGAATCTAAATTCACAATAAAAAAAATGATACTTAACTAATTCATTGATATTTAACCTTATGGAATAGTGGAAGGAAATGCAATAAAGATCATGGAAAAGACTTACATATTGTTTATTTTTTAATATGTTTCTTCATTCTAATACTTTAAGTAAACTCATTTTAATAATTAGAACATTATGTTAATAAACATATCATTGAGTATTTCTCATATATAAATATTTATTTTATGGTAGAAGCCTTTAGTGGAAATTATTTTCCTTGGCCAAGATTAATAAATTTTACTTTTGCACAAAGCAGTTTTGGATGAATAGTTACATTACCAATGGGTAACACTGTTGTATCAATCTTTTAATCAAAATAATAAAATAAATTTGACTAGTGTTACAATCTATAGATTTGTGATTCACAAGTGGTTGTGTTCCTGGAGGATCTGGCAGCATATGAACTGAATTTATCCAATGCCATTAGCTGTCAATACCCAATCACCAAGATGTCATTGATCCAAATCTCATCAATAGTTTGCTAAAAGGACCCAGTAGTCCACTTGTCTTTATCTTCAAAACCATTACATTCAATGCTGACTTTATACTGAGAGGTAGAAATGAGAAAGGATGACGATTAACACGTCATAGTTAGTTTGCCACATTAACATTTAAACCTGACAGTTTTTTTGTTGTATCTAACATTAGTGTTCCATAAGTGGAAAGTATCCTATGATAGAATGAATACTACTTGATATTAATATTTAAAAAAGTTTTAAACGTTTTTGAAAAATATTTTTAATATGGAAAATAGTTCTGATATATTAAAAACAAATTAAAAAATATTCTTTTCCTGTCAATGAACTGTTGACAATTAGCAGTTGGCCTGATGAAAATAATAAAAATGACATGTCAGACATGGGGAAGGATAGAATCCTTCCTAAAAACAATATATCAATTTCACAGTTTCTCACGGCTGGGAAGAAACTGATCTCTTTTCATAGAGGTCTGAACAACCTAACAACACCATTCTGAATGTACTGACTGGTATCCTTAATACTTTTGGCTATTTTCCTTAAGAATATGAATAATCATGATTTCTAATTTATTACTCTGGAAAACTAAAGTATTTCAAATTACGATTTTTTAAAATATTAAGCTCATTTTTACATTCATCTTATGATATTTTTTATATCATTACTTAAATCGTATATTTTTATTAATCAGGTATATTTATGTTTTAAATAGATACACTTTTTTATAAATAGACATCAGTAACAAAAAATATTTATTTTATTTTAATTGGAATTATATAAAAAATATTGTCAAAATATTTTACATTTGAAGCTCTTGGCATGGCATTGACTGTACATAACTTTTTTCTATACATTTAAATACAGACAATAATACTTTACCTTACATTTCTAGTATTTACAAAAGATAACACTTTAGGTTGAGCCTAATATAAGTTAATTTTCTTCAAAAATGGAAGAAATGGTACTTTGATTTGGCCAGACATTAATTACTTAATGCTAATAACCCAGAAAATTGGGTAACGATTAATTTTTTGATTTTGTTCTGCTAAAATCTTCGACTGGTTCTAAACCATCATATTCTGATTGTGTCCCATCGTCATAGTATGCATAATCATATTGTTCCTTTTCTTTCTTTTGATCTTTGTTGGGCGTAACTGTTTGATGTGTGAATGCTCTGGGTTTTTCTGTTGCATCTAAGGTTGTAGGCCTTGTACCCCTGGATTGCGGTGTTGTTTTGGCTGTTGAAACAGGTCTCAAAGTTGTAGGATTGTAGTAATTGTTAGAAATTGGCTGATGTGATGGATTTCTTTGTGGTTGAAATTGTTGCTGTACATTCTGGACTGTTTGTGGCTGCTGGTAAGATTGTTGTGCTGGAACATTTCTTTGTGGCGGGAAAGTAGGTTGCGGATTTTGAGTTTGGTAAGTTGGTTGAATTGGTTGGCTGTTGTATTGTTGAACTGGTTTCTTAGTTGTCTGTGGCTGTTGATTGTACTGATTTTGAAAGGCATTTACTGTAGTTGGATTATATTGTGAATAAGTTGATTCAGTAGAATAAGTGTATTGCTGCTGATAAGGTTTTTGTGTGGTCTGAGTGTACTGATAATTGATTTTGGCAGGTGTGCTTTGTTGTGGTTGAGTGCTATAAAAGTTTTGGTTATTAACATCAGTTGGTTGAGGTTTGATTGTGGTATAGTATTCATGTTGATATGGCTTTGATGTACTCGGATTGTAATAGTTTTGTGTCTGTGTAGTTGGATTGAAATATGTTTGTGACTGGTAGTTTTCTGTTGTGGACTTAGTTACTTGATTGAAATTGTAGCCTGTAGAGACTGAAGTATTAAAGCTTTTGTAATTGTTCTGAAGACTGTTGAATACACTTGCCCCTAGATTTAGACTTGGTGCTGTTTTAAGGAATTCATCCTTTGAATCATCATATTGATTAACTGCTCCAGTGTTAAGTTTATATAATTTCTGTGTTTCATAATTGTTATTTTTTTCATAATTTACTGTAGTTTCATAGTAGTTAACTGTTGTTGGTGCTTGAGTTGTAGTCCTGAAAATTTGATAATTTTTTGTAGTTTGTGGAAATGGTGTTGTCTGAGTATTATAATTTTGAGTGTTTTCATAGTAGCTACGCTTTGTTGTTGGATTATAATTCCTGAAAAACTCTGTTCTCTGTGTTGCTGGGGAGGTTTCTATTTTTGGAGTAGTGGGGGAATAAAAATTCCTTTGTGTGTATGATTGTGGGTGATTGTATGTTTCAGTTATTCTTGCTGGCGCTTCAGTTGACTGCTGCTGATTTCTTTGAAAATGTGATATTCTTCCTGCAAAGTTGTTATTTTTTGGCCGATATTGAGGTTGAGAGCTTTGTTTGTTCTCTTCAAGTGGTGCCTAAAACAAACAGAAAATAAAATTAAAATTCTAAATATTCCATTAGACTTTGTTAACATTTAAAAATTACCTATGAAGCAATCTCACAAATTGAAGACAAATTTCATGGGTTTGAAATGTATTACTCTTTAGTGTATTAATTGATTGCTAGAAATACCACATTTCTTTATTATTTTATATAACTTCCTTCAAAATATTTTTATTTGATTTTAAATTCTAAATTTTATCAATTAGCAGTTACATGTTTATTTTTATGAAATAATAGTTGAGATTCAGAAGCTATATATTAAGGATTATTAATTTATACCATTAATTAAATGTTTTGTTAACTATGTAAGCATTATTGTCTCACATACTTTGATTATACAATAATTTGTCTTTTAGAATATCAATGTATCATTTATTTTATTACTAACTGCCATATTTAGAACCATTATCTATATGATTAATATATGATTTTTTAAGTATTTTTATCATACAGTATTGGCTACAATCTCTAACTGCTGCACATTGGCAAAAAACAGCTTATTTCTTAGGTCTTCAAAGAAATATTTTTTCTGAATGTCTAGGTCAGAATATGGATTCATTCAACCTTGTAGCGATAAATGGATAATTACTTGAATCGAGAGATATTGTTCTTGTTTAAATTACTCGAATGGAGGAGATGAGCTTATTTGTTATTTATTTATACTCCTGTAACCCATTATCTAAGTCCTTGTATAATACTGTTGCTGAATATTAGTGATTTTTATTTATAATAAAAAAAAAATAATCAAAAATAAAAATAAAAATATTGTTCTTGTTTAAATTACTCGAATGGAGGAGATGAGCTTATTTGTTATTTATTTATACTCCTGTAACCCATTATCTAAGTCCTTGTATAATACTGTTGCTGAATATTAGTGATTTTTATTTATAATAAAAAAAAATAATAATCAAAGCAAGAATATTCGTATAATATAATCTCAACAAAGTTCTCTAATATTCGTTTTTATCTCGAGCAGTATTTCTCAAACATTATAGAACTATATCTTTGTCTGATGAGATAATTAATTTTGCTGTATATACCTTTATACAACTTTAAAAAAAATGCTTTTATATCCTCACAATATATATTTTATGCCCATGAAAGATAATGGATTAATTTAAAATAAATACAAACTAGGTACTAAACTAACTTATTTAATTGGTGGTCTTTGATATTTCAATCTGATAGGCAAATCTTTACTCTCTTACTAGTGTACATTAACAGATTTCTTATTGTGCTATAAGTACCTAAGCCCCGATGTATTTGGTATAGTGGGTTAATAAACCCCAAAACATTTTTTCATAGATGAAATGATCAATTCTTAGTTTCACTTTAAAATTTAGAAACTTTTTCTGTACTCCAAAATTGCTTTCTTGCATCTGTGAAAGCATGTACACCACTTAAGACCCAATTATAGAGAGTAACTGATCACACTAACCTGTGTTGAAGGCAGAGGCCTCTTTCCAGTTAATAACTTTTTGACATTAGTTCTACTTTTCTTGTATTCAGTTTTGCTATAGTCATCATCTTCCCTTCCTCTGTTCTTATTCGAGAAAAAGTTACTTGAGTGGCTTCCCCTAAGAATAAAACATTATCAAAAATGTATGACTTACTAAAAACTTAAAAATTCATGGTATTTTAATCTGAAAAATAAAAAATATAAGTCTACTAAACTATATTACCTCAAAAGATCAGATCCAACACTTTCACCACGATCACTTTTCTGTAAATAGAGATCATCGTCAACTTCTGATACGGCATTGTTGATATTGTTACTGGGCAGACGAGGTTCTAAATTTGTTCTAGGTATGTCACCGCCTGAAAAAAACAACAAATTTACTTGTGGGTCATGCCAAATCATCCTGGGCCCGTAACCCATCCTCCTCATATCCTAATGGAAATTTGTAAATATTAAGTAAATCTACATGTAAATAAAAATACCAAATTATATCCTATTATAATGACTAGTTTCAGAATTATGGGCATTTAAACTTTTAAAATATTTTACATTGGGAAGACATTTAGAGCTGGAATCCAGCATACGCGTTATGTTTTCCTTCTTAAAACGAATATTTATAGATCAAGAGCTTTCAAAATGTATTCATTTATTGTAAATTTAATACTGAATATGCTGATAACATAAGTTTTAGAATTATAATTTATCTCAATTATAATGTATAAAAAAATTCTTGAGCATAAATTTTAAAAGATGTGATAAAAATATAGAAAACCTGTAGCTAAAATCTCTCTCCAAATACCCCATATATTAATGAAAACAGCATAAAATTCTCTACCAAATGCAAAAATAATATTAATGGCATTTTGAGTTTAAAGAGTTTTAGATAGATAGATAGAAAAAAAAACTTTATTCTGGGACTAAGTCCCTTTAGAATAACAATATTGTACAAAAGAATAGAATATTACTGGCCTAAAAGTTTGAAACAAAAAATAAAATTGATAAATAATTGGTAAATGGTTGACTGTCGTGGATAATGAAGAGAAGAATATTTGGGGTGGTCAGTCAAATAAGAAGGCAAAAATAAATGATAATATTTATTTTTACATATGCCGACGTTTCGACCTGAAGTTCAGGTCTTCATCAGGGCTAAGAAAATAACCAGATAACAAGGTATGAGAAACATAAGTAGTGATGGTAAAAAAAAAATAAATAAAAAATTATAAAAAAATAAAAATAAATATAAAGTAAAATGAAATTGTTAGAATAATGACTAAGAACTAAGAGATAAATAATAATAACCGTTACAAAGTGTGGAATGATGAAGTAGGCATAATCAAAAAGGGTGACATAAGTGTTAAAATGGGAATCTTAGAATAAAATGTAAATTTTGACTGACCACCCCAACTATTCTTCTCTTCATTAAAATTGATAAAATATAATAAAAAGTAAAGAAAACCTTAGGTGCACAAACTATATACAATACAGATAAAACTATGTACAGAGCATTTAAAACTATGAAAAAAACAATTAAAACTAAGAACGAATCACTTGAACTATGAACAAAACTATATATAAGGGTTGAACAACATAAACATACACTTTGAGAAATGAAGAACAAAAAAGAGATAGAATGAGTTCATTCCATAAAAAAAGCTTTACTTGTATATATATATATATAAATAAACAGTTAATTATAATTGAATAAAAAAAAATGTATGTATTGTAAGTCCTATGTCGATAGTAGGAAATGCATGTACTATTTCTTACCAGGTATTATGATTATATGATTGCTATACAATACATATATAGTATTAATAGTTAGCTGGTATCTAACTGTTTTTGGAACAGGAATTGGAATAGGAGGTTTTTGAATGTGTATAGGGAAGAGGCATGTCGAATTTTGATCGGGAGGGAATTCCAAAAGTTGACAGAGCGGGCTATAAAGGAGTTTTGGAATGAGGCAGATCTATGAGAAGGGATGTATAGGTCAGAGGGTCGAGATCTTGTAGTGAGGGAATGGATTGAGGACTTAAATTGGAGAAGGTTGTAGGCATAAGAAGGACGATGATCGGTAATGATTTGATAGAGGAAAGTGCCTAGGATATATTGTATTCTTAAGGAGGGGAAGAGCCACCCTAACTCAGTGTAGTGGTGGGAGACACGGGAGCGTCTCGGCGTCCCAATTACAAATCTTACAAAGCTATTCATAAGTCTTATTATTTATTACACTTTAAACCTAATACAGTAAATTTGAATTTACCAGCTACAAATAAAAGTAAAAATTACTTAAATCTCTCTCCAAATATTCTAATATAATCATATATCACTGAAAAGAGCATGGAATTTTCTATCAGATTGTGTAGTAATATTTTTGGTCCAAATAATATTTGGAATAAACATATTTGGAGAGAGATTTTAGCTACAAGTAGTTTTCTATATCACATATTTGAAAATTTATGTTCAAGAATTTTTTTTTATACATGTAGAAAAATTATAATTCTAAAACTTATGGTTTCAGCAGATTCAGTATTAAATTTATGAAAAATGGATACATTTTTAAAGGTCTTGATCTATAAATATTGGTTTTACGAAGGAAAGCAGAACAGATACATTCTGGTTTTCAGCTCAAAATATCTTCCCAACTTAAAATATATTAAAAGTTTAAGTGCCCATAACTCTGAAACTAGTCGCTATAATTTGGTATTTTTACTTATATGTATATTTACTTAATGTTCTCATATTTTCATTAAGATCTGAGGGAGATGGGTTACAAATTGAAGTTTTTTCTGGATGATTTGTCAAGGAATGATCCTTGTATTAAATATGAAATGTACTAATGAAAATTTCAAAAAGTACTTAAAGATAAAATGTCCTCCATGCTCCTAATCCAAATATATCACTGATTTATTTAAAATATATATCAAATTATTCTTTCATTAGAACATGGGTTTCCAATTGAAGATGAAACAGTTCATATTCAACTATTTGTATGAATTCTTTTTTTAAACAGATTTTTAAATTAAAAAATTTGATATATTGTTTATGATTTATTTATATTAGAAATATTTCTGTCAAATCAAAATAAATGATGTGCTTATAGGACGGCATTGGCCTGTGGGCTGTAGCTTGATGACCTCTGATATAGAGAATACATTTCAGAACTGAATTAAAAGTTAATTTTTGTTTATTATTTCATAAACCAATATTAAGGGAGCTAAAAATGTTTCCCCTCATTTTTAATTAATTACACTCTAGTTTGGATTTTATTGATTGATTAATTTATAAATTTATACATATAGATCAAACAGAATATGTAAACTAATTGATTAATTGTTATTAGCTTATGAAATTTATAATTGAACTTCATTTATGTGGTGGAATATTTGTATGTCACACCACTGTTCATTGAGTTAAAATTAGTAAAATATTATTTTGAATATTACAAATATAACAGAGTTTTGTTATTTAATCATTCACAGGAGTTAATTCAGTGTTGAAATAACTGATGTGCTACTCGAATAAAGAGTGAACTGGTCTAGAAACCAATAATAAAATTGAAGGAAGTTAAGGCCAAGTGGGTTATGGAAGCAATCGAATATAATGAGAGACACTGTTTGCAATTCTCTTTCAGAGGGTTGACTTTTATCTTGTGGCAGACCCACTTAGTGAACCTTGACCTTTGCCTTAATAACCTTACTCTTCTTGCTCTATTTGTAATATTTAGTGGCCCTAAATCCAACAAACAACAAAAAGTGTTAAGATGTGAATATTTAGCAGCTGACGACTTTTAGAAAATCCATATTGTTACGATTAGTCTTTTAATTTAGGCTGGATTCATTTTATAGAAATGAATTTAATTTTATAAATTAATACCAGTAGACCTACTTGTTTGAAACGTAAAATTTTAATACTTGACCAGTTTTACACTGATATTTCAGTAATAAAAATAAATAAATAGGAAAATCTTACCTATCCTATAGAGATCAAAGTTATCGGAGTAATAAAGTGTTGAAGCCTCACAATCAATGTTATACCAGTCATCGCAAATCTGATTTTCTTGGTCAAAAGATGTTTCATTCGGACAAAGAAATTTGTAATCTTGTACCTAAAAATATAATAAAAGTTGCTACCTGTAAAGTCATAAGTATTATGATCCTTATTTATTTATAGTGGACTAATATTCTTAATAATAAACTCACCAAAGAACCAATGAAGATGTTTATCGCCGAAAACATTTAATTTAAATTTAAATTTAAAACAAGGATGCCCAAACATTTTATACATGTACCTCAACACATAGTACCCTACATTAAGGAATGCCACAACCCATATTACCCTAAATTAAGATGCAGTGGTGCCCATAGGGGCATTTTAAGGTGCAAATTGCGCCATCAGAATTTGGGGGAGGGCACATTAAGTTTTAAATTTTAAGAGAACATTTAAACCAGGAAATAAAGAAAAAAAAAATGGCACTCTGAGATTTGCGTGTATATAAAAAATATCTAAGAGCCCTGCATACTAGGAAGAGCAGCAGATATGACTTTATCATAAGTACTCAACACAAGTGGAACATTGTCTTGCGTATTGCCAGTTTCAGCATTAACTCAAAGGGCGCCTTGAACACAACTAATGCCTTGTCTTTTGCTATAGAACATGGAAACAAATTTAAAATAAAGTAACAAAAAATATAAAAACTTATGAAATATTATCATCAGTGACAGGTCATTTCAACATTCTAAGAGAAACTAATTATGAAATTAGATTAATTTATCCTCAAATTTATTGTCTCCCCCCTATTTTAAAATTATACATCACATTTTGACTACTCACGCAATTATTTTAGATGAAATTTTTATTTAAAAGGAAAAAATATTTTAAAACAAAATAATAATGAATTCCTGACATGGGCATAGGCAGAAAAGAGTAGGAGGGGGGGAGCCGTTGCCCCCTCTAAATATTACTGATGTTACTTGTTGATTGTAATTGCAATGTATTGTGCCTTTAATATTCTCGAGAAACAAACCAATATTATATCAACTATCTTTTAAACTAACACTGATATTACATCTCATATAGATACAAATTAATCATATAAGTGAGAGGGGCAATATTTTTTTGGGGGGCCATGCGCCATCGGCCTTGGGGGGATGGGCACCACTGTTAAGATGTGCCTCAATTGTACCATACTATGAGTGCAATAATATCTATATAGTATAGGTATTTGTTTTTAAAAATATTGTTTCCTCTTTTGCCAATTTTGAGAATAACAAATGAAAAAAGTCGATAACTATAATTTGTACAATAAAACATATATATTGTGATAGTAATTTTGTTATCCCATATCAAACATGCTGAGTGTATAATTCCCTTTTATTTCAGAATTTGATTTTTTGTTTTAATAACACAATTATGAATCAAACATTTTAATTTAAAATACTACGTACTGGCTGCATACAATTCCAAATTATCTTCATGCAACTTTGACGCTGGATATACGAGATAAGTTATAATATGAATTTTTAATTAATTATTAAAATTAATGAATGATTAATTGTAAAAAAAAAAATTGCTTACCCCTAGTCCTGGTACTTTGACACAGACATGAAACATTTGGCAATCAGTTTCTGGATCAGCATAATAACCTCCAATGATCTTATCTCTACAGCTGAAAGAGGTGATTGGCATGCTCTCTTGGGAGTAGTTGGGTGCTTTTCTTTGACCAATCGCTAACACACATATCCATAGTTCGAAAACTAAGTAAAAAAAAAAAAATATTGAATAATTACTAAGTGCTCATAAGATTTTATCTTTTGGTCATGGTTAGGGATTAAAGGTTGCTTTGAATAATAATAATAGAAGTTAACTTATTCTGAAAATGGGACCACATGCAAATTGAATTGACATATCAAAAATACTTACATTATCTACCAATCAAAAGTAATAATGTATGAAATTATTCAAATATATTTTATTATAACTAATTAATACAATAATACTGTATTATATATAGTTATTATTAAGACTTATACCAATTGTTCTTTAGATTCTGTAGTAAATGCAGGAATCAAAATAATTATTCATTTTTTAGAGTTACTATAGAATTTAAAAAATAAATTTTACGAGCTATCAATGAATCCAACTAATAACTATTAATTGAGTCATTAATTTCCAAAAACCATCCAAAGGACAAAATATTTTTTTTAAGGAAACAAAATCTATTTTTTCAGAATGTATTTTCAATGTGACCAATTTTTTTTTTAAAACAAAAAAAAATGCTATTTTTATTTATTTTGTGTTAAAAATCTGTTGAGTAGTAGTTTTAAATATATTTCAACCTTGAAAGTTCTTACAGTAAAGCTTGGAAAGAAAATCTCATCTGTGTGGATTTTGGAACAAAATTAGTTGAAGAGGAAGCACTTTGAAAAGAAATATCAAAACAACTCTTTTAAAAATGGCAATTTTATTTATTATTCTTCTTTTTAGGAAAAAAAAAAAACATATAAAATCAAAGTATAAATGTTCATTGCATTCTGAAAAAAATTCAACAGTTCCACTCAAAATACATACACTTTATCTAATAAAAACATTGAAGAAGCTATGTGCTATGAAGCGACAAGGTTATATTTCTATAGACATTTCTAACAAAAACATGAGTTAACTCATGAGTACATCATGTTGAATAGTCCAGATGAATTTAAATATTATTTAAGTGTAACATTAATAGAATAATTAAGAAATAGTTAATAATCCAATTTATAATATCAATTATCAATAATTAATTTGTCTTTTTAAGAGCTGAAAGATGTTTTTAAATTCACAATGATTTGCTTTATTATCATTTGTTTTTTACTTTGAAAATAACTGTAATCCATATGGTACCAGGATTCAGTGAAATATTATTTATATTTTCGTTATAAACGTATAGGATAAGATTAAAAAAGTATTGTGTCATTTATTATGTTTTTTTATATATCAACAAAAATGAATGCAGTGGAAAATAGGAAATTATTAATTTAAAAAAAAAAACAATAAAAATATGTATGCAAAAAATTCTTGTAAGAGATTGAATTTTGCAAGTCTATTATACATTTATTTTTTTTATGATTATAAGTTTTTTTTCATATGACTGATCTTGGAAATTAAAAAAAATAATTTCAGGAATAAAAGTTGTATCTAAAACAAGGCGTTGAATTATTTTTTTTCTTGACCACTTATCACTGGCTATATTCCACAGATAGTAAGTAATGTTCATGATAATGAATGGAATAGTATAAAATACACACCTAGATAAAAATAATTTTTTTTTTCCTGAACACTACGGCTTAATTGTTTTAATTTAACATGTCTATAATATATTTTTAATTTTGACCTAAGTGCATTTTTGATGAATTTAGGGGCATAATTGTTTGTTGAATAATATTCATAAGTTGAATCACATTTCCAAAGTTAACCCAATGATTTTTTTTAGACATTGAGATGAATATTAATTCCTATATAAAAAAGCGGAATATAATTATTTTTTTTCAAAAATAAACTTAAATATTTAAAAAAGTGGTGTGAAAAACAGTTAATTTACGTAATCGGCTCCTTTTTTTTTTCAAGGAATATAATGATAATTGTATTTCACAGTTACACACTTAGGCAGTTTTAAAAACACAATTCATCCAAAGTTAAGAATAATTTAATTTTATTGTATCATTATTGGTAATAAAAAGTTATTTTTATAGTACAGTTTTAATAATTTCCCCCCCTTCCAAATCATGTACTATTTTTTTTTTTTTAAATGAATCCTAACCTTTTTTTTTTATTCTAGAACAGGTCTTGAAGCTTAATTAATTTTAAAAGCAGCCCTGTTCAAGTTTGAATGTTTTTAAATTGATTTAAAAATGATCAATGATTTTTGGAAATATGAGCTACAAAGAAAAAAATTCTTAATTTATATTTTTAAACATATTAGTTTTTATACTACAATTAGAATATATAGTATTTTGCATTTCCTGAAAAATATCCAATGATGATCTGTATTCAATTTGGTAATAAACAACTCATGTTGTAACTTTTGGATTTATTTTTCTTGCTATAATTTATTTAATAGTGATTTAATTTTTATTTTTTATTAATACTATAATCAAATTATTCGTCACTCCTGTTTTACTTGTTTAATCGTATTATTATTAAAAATATGTTATTTATTTCTCAGTGCTTGATGAGAAACTTCCGATTGAGATGTTATTAATTTAATGCCCTCTGAGCATAGTTGACGTAATGTTTAGAAAACACTCTCAATTGTGATCCACTGACAACAAGAACTATCCAACTATCTGACCAATGCTTAGCGGTGCGCTAAGTCGGCCAATCGCTAAATTCAGGAAATAGTTCTTGTTACTCATAAATCGTCATACATTACGTAGTTCACACCCGATTGTAATCCAATCGAGTGGAAAGGTCTATTTATATTGAAATAGCGCATTGTGAGGAGGCCTTTGACGACATGGTACTTATTCATCCAGTTAAGGATCAGAGTAATTAGTTGAATAATTAATTAAAGCGAAGCTTAACTTACCCATAGCGTTGGTAATTTCATTACGGTTTATGGATTACACAACGCCCTAGTTCTCATGGGACCGTGGGACCTTTCACACGATCCTACAACCGACCAAACATCCCCTTTTTTTATTACTTATTCCGAGGCTGTACCGCAGAACTTTTAGTTTTATACTGGGAAAGAAAAAGTTACGAATGTCGAAAAGTAAAGTGCTCCATAGATTTTAATAATGAATATATTTACGTTTTAGTCAGGACGGAACACAGGCCCAGAGGGGAAGGTTAACGGGTGTGCACAGTACCGCGCGTTTCCCAGCAACATGATAACCTAAATTATAGAAAATAAAATAAGTACGAGTTCGCGTCCTGGTGACGAGGAGGATGGGAGGGGCTTTAAATTCTGGCAATAATCCACCGCCCTCACCCCTGTCCCGGGAAAACCCAGAAAAGGCGACGAAGGAGAGAACATATAAACAAACAGGTGAATCTACTACTGCGGAAAGGACTTAAGCCTTCCAAAAAAATGATAAAATATAACCTGTCTTTTACTAAAAAATACTACAAACTTTTCGCTAAAAGTCTTAAAAGTACTCTTAAAGTATTTGTTCGCGTAATTACATTTAATAGGCTTTCAAGAATCACTTAAACATCATTTCATATAAGTTAGCAAAGGTGCCCATCCTCCCCAAGGTCAATGGCGTTAAAACCTATCCCCTCCCCATCCAAGACATTTTATTGCTCACTTTTTTTAAAAACAGAGCAAACAAAGGTAGAATTAGAAAAATCGGAGATCATGGCAACTTGCGCCATCAAATCCCTTTCTGGGCACCCATGGTAGTTAGTTTCTTTCTTTTTCTTCCAAAGTAATTATCAATATATATATATATATATATATATATATATATATATATATATATAAGCTTTTGCGCTGAAGCCTCCTCAAAATTAAATCCTGGATCAGCTAGTTGAGCCGAACAATAGCATTTACTGACAAACTTTTGAAAACAGGGCACAAATTTCTTCCTATGGTCTAGATTGACTTAATAGAAGAAGAATAGTCAACTTTATTCTGTGACAAAGTACCTTAAGAATAACAATATTGATCATAAAAATTAACATTACATCTGGCCAACATGCATATTGCAATAAAAGAATAACCAAAACATAAGTATTTACATAGGCTATATTAAAGAATATTACTATATTAAAGAAAAAATATGAGCAATAAAGTCACAATACTGAAAAATAGTAGTTACAAACAACAAACTATGAAATAACTAAATGAAATTTGAAAAGAGCGATAAATTACTTTTGTTGTCAAATATTTTTGAATTAATAAGATTATTGTTGTTGAATATATACGTGTACAGCTATACTGGCAGATCCACAGGGGAAGGGCATTTGGGCTTAAGTCTCCCCCCCAAAATGGAAAAATATTTTTGTTTTCATTATTTCAAATTTATTTCTAAGTGTAGTCTTGATCTAAATACTTAAGCAATCACTATATGTACTGTTTATAAATTATAACGCACATGCAGGTACTAAATATTAGCAGGTGTTAAGAAAAAAATTATACCTGCAAGCATTATTTACTGTATTTATATTCACGTAAGTATAGGAAAATATCTATAGAGGAGTAATAGGAGACTTCAAGAGCTACAAACAAGTTCGTTTAAAAAGTGGTCCGATTTTCAGCAGAAAAGTATGAAATTTAAGTTTTGCGTTTTTTAAAATTTAATCACGTTTTTTTATTGAATAGGAAGCGATAACCAAAACAATACTTCATTTAAGTAATTAACATTAATTTCACAGAAAACTAGACACAATTACAGTTTCAAATGATAATGGAGTTTGTCGTTGGTAAAACAATTTAAACAGGACTTTTGAGCCACAAAACTAAATGAAGTTATGTTTTCAAAAAGATCATGATGATATATTTTAGGACGACAAGAAACATTTATTTGGTCACTTATAAATACAGGCCAATTCGATATGGAGATCTTATTAAAAAAACATTTCCATTATCACTTTAGATCATTAATAATCGAAAAAACATAATTTATAACTTGAGGTGAATATCTACTGTTCCTCTGATAAAACTCAACTTAATTAAAATGGACTTAAAACTTATAGAAAGTTTTTATAAAAGTTGGGTATCTGTAGTATAATTGAAAAATAAGTCCTCTTGAAATGGTTTCAACAATGACAAACTCTATTTTCATTTAAAGCAAATTTTGTCTGGTTGATTGTGAAGTAAGTGGTAATTATTTAAATTA